TATAAACAGAGGCGTAGAATCAAAATCACATGTAGTATTAGTACCGCTTTGTAAATCCTTAGTAAGACCACACCTGGAATATACTGCATCCAGTTTTGGTCACCACGTTACAAAAAAGATGTTGAGACTTTGGAAAAAGTGCAAAGAAGAGCAACTAAAATGATTAAAGGAGACTAAAACATATGAAGAACAGTTGCAGGATTTCACTAGTCGAAAGAAAAGAAGGACTGGGGGACATGACAGCAGTATTCCAGTATTTGAGAGGCTGCCACAAAGAGGAGGGGGGTCAATTTATTTTCCAAAGCACCAGAAGGCAAGGCAAGAAACAATGGACGGAAACTAATCAAGGAGAGAAGCAACCTGGAATGAAAGAGAAACATTCTAACAGTGAGGACAATTAACCAGTGGAACAGCTTGCCATCCAAAGTTGTGGCTGCTTCATCATTGGAGGTTTTCAAGAAGAGATTGGACAGTCACTTGTCTGAAATGGTATAGGGTCTCCTGTTTGAGCAAGGGGTTGGACACTGGTTACATCATAATCAAGGTCTCTTTCAACTCTATTCTGATAGATAAATATAGATAGAATAGAATAGATAGATGATAGATAGATATAGTTTTAGCTCCTCTAGTCATGTTTCCTGTCTCATTTGACCAGAAGGATTTCAACTCACAGAATTCCTCAGCAGCTAAGGCTGAGAAACCCTGATCTATGGCGACAAAAAACCTATAAGAGAAGTAGAAATAAGTGTTATCTTCTTAGGTGCTCTTCTCCAATGATACTGTAGGTAGTATCTTTTACAGAGTAGTTGGGACATGTGGGTTTCTTGTTCATGAGTAACTATAGATTGGTCAGAAATCTGATGTTCTCTTTCTACTTTACTCTGATGCCCAGCTCATTCTGTCCAAGTCTTTGACTTACAAAATGTACACTGTCCCTCAAGCTAGTTTCCATACATTGGTGAGGCACTGTGTAACACGAGAATGCCTTGCTTTCATTTTTCATGCCTTCCTGGTAATCAACAGCATCAGTATATGTGGTTTATTTAGTTAGAAGATTTACAGAGCTGTCCAACTCATAATCATGGCTCTGCATGGTGAACGCCATACAGTTGTTGGATTTGAAACCAAAGTGAAATGCTTTATCAGTAACTATTGATTTAAACTTCTACCTTGCTCTTCTCTCCACCTTACCATTATCATCTCCTCTCTTCTTTCTTTATTGTAGTGACAGCACGAGAAATCCCATTTTTAAGGCCCTCAAATTTAACATTTAGTTTTTTACTAAATTACTTTGGCTCAATGATCTTTAATAATGTGTAATCTTCTGTCTGATATTCCTGTCATCAGTACAACTATTTTCCTTGCCAGGACTGCCCTTGGTAATTCTGTTACCAAGTTAGCTCTAGGCGACAATATTCTCAAGAGGGTCTAAGCAGATTGAGGCTTTTTGAATTCATAATCAGAAGACAAGGAACTGCATAGGAAAAATGTAAGACATCTTCATATAATGGGGGAGAACTGGTTTGGCAGTAATACATATGAAAAGGATCTGGGTTCAACATGAGCCAACAGCATGATGTCTCTGATCAAAGGCAAATCCTATCTTGGGACAATCTAATATGGTCCAGACCGGTAGGTAGTAATTGAATTACTTCATTTTGTCTTGATTAGACTCCACTTGGAGTACTGGGTCCGATTCTGCACCCTGATGTTCAAAAAACTGAAGCCAGAGAAGAGATATCAGGATTGTGAGAAGTCTGAAGACCCAGTCCTTGGAGGGACAATTAAAGCAGAAGTGGTATTCAGCAGGTTCTGACCAGTTCTGGAGAACCAGTAGCAGAAATTTTGAATAGTTTGGAGAACCGGCAAATACCACCTCTGACTGGAGATTTTACAGTATCCTTCCCCTGCCACGCCCACCAAGCCACACTCACAGAACCGGTAATAAAAAAAAATTGAATTCCACCACTGAATTAAAGCATCTGGGTACATTTAGCTTACAAAAAAAAAAAAAAAAAAGTAAGGTGTGATATGACATCAGTCTTCATATATTTACAAGGGATCACAGAAAAGAGTGCATCCATGAACACCAACTAGCATTCAGAAGAGGCAGTGAAAACTCCTTGAACTCACAACGCATGGACAGACTCAACCATAATTTCAGTTGGGTAATTGTAAGCACCCTAGAGCAAGATAAATCCAAAAATGATCTGGAAGCTTGGCAAACAGACAAATCAGCCATCAATGGATACTTTAGATAAATCACATGTACATACCATTTGAAAGTGACAATAAAAAGCTAAAAAGGAAACAAAAAGATCGGAATACTTCCATCCCAGTGGCCAACAGCCAGTTAAATAGGAATGAAAAATCAAGCGGTAAACAACAGCCTAACCAAGGAATTATTAAGGACAAAACTACACCCCCAGCAACACTGGCACGATGAGCTACTATATATAAAAAGGGAGCAAACCCCAAACTTATTAACACTGATGATGTTATCTAGTTGGGTAATGAAATGTCAGGAAAGCTCAGAGAGCACCAAAGACTCCGTAGTTCATCCCTGAGCTAAATGTAAACTTATTTGACAGAGTTAAATATCAGGCTTTCCTGCCACTTACAGTATTGCTAACGAGCTCCCCCACTGGACCATTTTGCAAAAGCAAAGTGCTTCCATCCCCTCATAATACTACACCTCAGGGTCAGCCAGGATAAGAATGAGAAGAGGAAAAAGAAAACGTGCTTCATATGACACTGGTTACATCATAATTTAATGGTAGCCATGGACTGAGAGAGTTTTCAAAGGAGATTCGAACAATTCCTGGAGGAATTGGGAATGGAGTTGCCCTTCATGGTTCTAAGTCAGGAGGATTAGGTGGACGTCCATCTTCAGAAGCAGGTCAGGGCTACCGCTGCCAATCTTGCAGAGATATCAGGATGAGGAGGAGAATTCAAATAGATTTTTGCCTTTAGTTCCTCAAGAGGGAAAAGGATAAACATCAGTGTGGGTTTTAATATTTCTCAGACCTGTTTTCCAATCTTCTGTTAGATTTATGGACTATCTTTTATTCAGGAAGTCAAGGCATTGTATATAGTGCTCCTTCCCCTCATTTTTCTCTACAATAACCCTGTGAGGTAAATTGGTCTGAGGGAGAATATGTTAGCTTCATTGAGAACAAATAACTTGTGCAAAATGATTGTCTGAGTCACATTCCCTGGGTTTCTTCACCCCAGTGCCTCCCAGGATATGTTTGGCTACAATTCTCATAATTATAGGACTTATGGGAGTTCTAATTCAACATATGGAGAAGGCTCCCGGTTGGAAAAGACTGCAGTAAAGCAAAACGTATTACAAAATTCTGAGTTATAAAGTAAGCTTATTCTTAGTTACACTTAAGTTGCAGTCACAGAACAAAAGAATGTGTGTCAGAAACAGACTACAGCCTTTCCACTGGACCCAGTGTTCATGCCTGGCAAAGAGGATGGGAGGAGGCTTGATTGCAAAGCAAAGTTAAACACTAGGTCTGAATATGAATATACATCCAGAGTGATTCAGTGTGACATTTAAAAATCTCTTAATGTACCAAATTGAGCAGGCAATCAAGAGGTATGCTGCTAAGGATATGAACACACTTTTTTGTTAATAAAATGTGAATCAGTCAAGGATATTTTTATATATCCATCAGGGTGTCTCTGTTTTTTCTCCCCTTTCACTCTCAAAGGTTTGTGTACCTACCTTCTAAGTTGTAAAGTGACTCAAGCCCCAGGTTCAAATCGGAGTCTTTGGTCTAGTTTTAGAAAAGAATAGAATTCTTTATTGGCCAAGTGTGATTGGACACACAAGGAATTTGTCTTGGTGCAAATGCTCTCAGTATACATAAAAGAAAAGATACATTTGGCTCTCAATTAAGACAGTCCTTCACTTACAACAGTTTATTTAGTGACCACTCAAAGTTACAACGGTGGCGAAAAATGTGACTTATGACCAGTTTTCACACGACCTGGCAGCATCCCAAGGATCAGATAATTAATATTCAGACAATTGGCATATGACTCATATATATGATGGTTGCAGTGTCCCAGGGTCATGTGATTCCCTTTTGTCACCTTCTGACAAGTCAAACTCAATGAGGAAGCCAGAGTCACTTAACAACAGGGTTACTAACTTATCAACTGCAGTGATTCACTTAACAACTGTGGCAAGAAAGGTCATAAAATTGGGCAAAACACACTTAAGAAATGTCTGACTTAAAAAACAGAAATTTTGGGCTCAGTTGTGGTTGTAAGTCAAGGACTACATGTATTAAGTTCCTCAGCCTCATCACAGGCCTATTCCTATACAGGTAGTCCTGTGCTTATGCTCTTACTTCAGCTAAACAAAGACAATCTGTATAAGCAAAGAGAGTTTTTCATTAGCATCAGGAGAAAGTTACCAAGTGGAAAAATAAGGCAGTGAAGCCATATACTCCTGTGCTACATTTTCCATGTGAAAAGGACATGGATGCAAACTTTGGTGATTTCCCCGTGGCTGAAAATAGGAGATCTTGGTTTGTGGCAAAGAAAGAATTGCACTTGGGTCCGTCCAGATGTATATATTTGCTGCCAGAGTAAGCATAAAAAACCACTGTCCAAACAGGGACTTGAACCCTGGACCACCAGATTAAAAGTCTGATGCTCTACCAACTGAGCTATCTAGACTCTTGTACTTAGTTTTCTGACCTAGGAAATTTTGCAATATTGATCTGGAGATCTAAACACATCAGCAGTATCTCTCTCCTCTGGAGCCTCTTATTGCTTATAGAGTTGGTGCCCACACTTTGAACAACTGTCTCTTCCCTCCACTACAAACACCTGGAAAATGTTTACAGGTTGTTGTTTTTAAAAAAACAAACATGGTATGAATCAAGACACTGTAATCTCCAGGAGAAATGCATAGAAACTATTCTGGCATCCAGATGTGTTGGTCAATGAAATGGAAACCCAACATACTAAATAGCCTTAAATTGAAGAAGGATGTTCCAATCATTTCCAGCAATTATCAGCTCTGCCAAAGACGGGGGATCAGGGGAGAGCTGTTGGCTGCTAACTGACATATGCTAAAACTACTTATGCCACTAAATGCTGATGTCCCCAGCCAACAAATGAATTCTCCTCCCACCAGAAACTGCTTGGGGTAATACAAATACTCAGCCAGCCAGTTAATTTTGGTCCTCTAGCCTTGTATAAATTTCTTGCCTGTCATCCAGCATACGATTCCTAGGAACTGAAGAAGACGATTGGCCAGCTTCCTTGGAACAGGAACTGGATACAGTTTGGAACATTGTGATAAAGATTCTCAAATGTTCTGAAGGTTATGAGGCTTGTTAGGTTAAAAGGGAAATTTGTGCCATTTCCAGGTGCTTTTTTTAAAATACAGGTAGTCCTCGTATAACGTCCACACCTTCAGGGACCCGTTCAATGTTTCAATAATGCTGATCAAGGGGACTTACCAGTATTCTTTGTACTTGCATGTGGCAGCAACCCACATGGTCCCATGATTGCAATTGGGATGCTTTGGCGGCCAGCTTCCATTTACAAAGTCACAGTGTCCCATGTTTACATCATTGAAGTTTGCAACTTTCCTTGGAAAAGAATGGAACTCTGACTTTGGGTTTTACCAATTCGACTGATAGATCTTTATAGAAGTGGCGTGTTCATATTATTATGAACTTAAGTACTTCATACTTAAGAGGTCTGTAAAGGGGGCGTGCATAAGTGCACAAACGTGCCCATCGTCCCTGTCATTGTTTTATATTATTCCGTTTTTGTTTCTGTTTGACAAATTATAATCAATAAATACAATAAATTATGAAAAAGCAAAAAGTTGTGATTTGATGTTAATGCCTGATTTTACTGTAACAGAGAGAGTCGGGAGTCAATGCTTCTTTTCCTTTTCCTTATCTTTCCTCACTTCTCTTTCCACTGCCCTCCTCTTCCCCCCACTGATTTTCTGTTTACTTTGTATTTTGTATTTTATAATACTTTATAACCAGGGGTGGGCTTCAAATTTTTTAGCAAGTGGCTCTCTGCCCTAATGACTGGCTGGGTGGGTGTGGCCAACTTGACGTTGCTTCTTTGCCCTAATTACCTAAAAAAAGATATATATCAAAAAGTTGTTTATTATTCCATGCATTTAATACTTAAATAAAAGACTGGATAAAACCAGGCTTAATAGCAGTGACTGTGAGAGGGATCTTGGAGTCATAGTGGAGTTTCTGGTGAGTTACATGATTCTTATTATTTGGGGATTAATCCCCTTGGAGGCTAGTGGCTATGTTAATTGATTTTCTCTATGGCTCTCCCTCACAAGCACCAAGTGGATTGTTTATCTAGCTTGCAACACTTTTACGAGGTGTGAAATGTTCTTGGCTGAATGCCCAGAAGTTCAATTAAGCCTATTAAGAGCTTTCCCTTGCTGCTTGTCTTTCTGAGGTTATTGGGGGCTCTCTGAGCCCCGCAGAGTCTTAGCTAGCGACTCTCCCAAGCCTCTGCGAGCCCCCAGAAGCCCACCTCTTTTATAACCCAATAAAAATGTTGAACACAGAGAAGTTTGCAACTTTCCTGCCTGGCTTCCAACCAGCAAAGTCAATGGGGAAGGAGCAGCAGGAGGTTGCCTAGGGTGATCACATGATAATCGGACAATGCAGCACAATGGTGGCTGGGACTACTCCACATTGCTGTTATAAGTCAGTGCAACCACATGAGGTCGTGCCTTAGAACCATGTCGCGGAGCGGAACAGTTCCCTGTACCTATTACCATTGGTAATTGAGGACTGTTTGTAATCTTGTTAAAGGGGTGTGTGTGTGTGTGTGTTGGGGGGCAGAGAGCAGTGGTGGGATTCAAATAATTTAACAACTGGTTCTCTGCCCTAATGATTTCTTCCAACAACCAATTCACCAAACTGCTCCGAAAGTTAACAACCGGTTCTCCCGAACTGGTGCGAACTGGTTGAATCCCACCACTGGCGGGGAGACAGTGAGGGACAGAGAGAGAAGTGGCTGAGTATGCACTCCAAGAGCCTGCTTGTTGCAAGTGCCTCTAGAGAACAGAAGCAACAAAGCCTACCGCCAACTACAATAGGTGCTGCTGCTGCTGCTGCTGCTGCTACTACTAAAGAAATGGGAACAAACAACAGCCCAGTGCTGGAGCTGTTCATCTGGAAGCAAATGCACAAAGAAAAGGCAGCTGGGCAGCCAACCGTATGAAAGAGGGAAGAGAAGCTGCAATTATCTGCTGCTCCTTCCTGTCGCTAAGTAGAGGTTGTTACAAGAAATTCAGTCATCCGAGATGGCTGCACAAAAGCATTGGCTTCTTTGTGGAAGGAGGGAGCCCAAAGGTCAGGTCCACTCTGCCCAAGATTGGTGTTCTTGCTCTCCTCCCAGCAGAAACTAGGCGTGTTATGCCCTGTCCTAGATTTTGATGGGCAGCTCATCTTTTTGGCTTGTTTGCAACAAACAGAACATTGATTACAGAAGGCCTTTGTCCATATTATCTTGTTAAGGCTTTAAAAAAAATCATCCCAGTGGGTCACAGTGCATTGAATGGCAAATTGCAGAGCAGTGGTTCCGTTTACACTTGTGGTGGAATTAAACACGATGCAGCAAAGCACATCAGGGTGAGGGAAAGTGCTGAGAGATGGGAGGGAGTGGAGTGAGGCAGTTCCAATAAGAAAAGGGGGGCAGAGTTCAGGCCTGGTTACCGAAATCCCTTTTTCCTTGAACATTTTCCCTATGAGGGGCACCCTGCTCAAATGCTTTTGTCCTCTCAAAACATCTTTAGTGTTCCCGAGGACTTGGAGCAAAATGGCCGGAGGAGGAATTACTGTATAGAGGGGTGGGGGGAAAATACAACTGGAAGAAAAGTCATCCACCATTTGAAAACAGAGAACCCAGCCCTGCTGTTAGGCGGAACAAAGCGAAGGGAGCATTGGTTACTTGGTATCAACGTGTTAAAATTGTACAAACCACATGGCTTGCCAAATTTGGTTCACTGTCAGGTGGGTAAAACCAGATCCACACTTGAAGGACTCAAATTAAACTGAATAACAGAATAACAGAGTTGGAAGGGATCTTGTAGGTCATCTAGTCCAACCCCTGCTCAAGCAGGCGCCCTATACTCTTTCTGACAGATCTCCAGTCCAATTTCTTCTTGAAAGCCTCCAGTGATGAAGCTCTCACAACTTCTGAAGGCAAGCTGTTCCATTGGTTGATTGTTCTCGCTGTCAGAACATTTCTCCTTATGTGTAGATTGAATCTCTCCTTCTTCAGCTTTCATGGTCCATTATTTCTTGTCTGGCCTTTAGGTGCCTTGGAAAATAGCTTGACTGTCCCCTCCTCTCTGTGGCAGCCCTTCAGATCAGACTATTATCATGTCTGATTTATTGCTAAACAGTCTAGGCACAGGAATCTTCTCAGCTAATGGTTAGCATCTGCTTGGAGTTAGACAAGGGTTAGCTGAAATCAAGGAGCGGGGTAGACTTACTCTCCTTATGGCTGGCTATGTAGGGATTCTAGGCTGATCCCTCTTTTAACTCCGCCCCCAGGTTGTACCACTCATTCTACATCCTCTCTGGGTATGGTGACCATATTCACTTGGAAAAAAGCAATAAAAGATAAACTTGAAAAAGGGCAAATCTAAAACAGGTTCAAAAATATATTTTTTAAAATGTTTTTGGCTTATAACTTTGTTGTGTAACTGAACATTCAAGAGGAAAACCAAATAAATAAACTGAATAAATATAAAGGACAGTTTTCTGAAAATAAAAAGCTGCTCTTTATAATAATATCTGCTTGTCACGGAATCCATGGGCATCCTCTGAAAGGATCCCGGTTCGCCATGCATTTAGAACAATCATAGCTGTCTCTTTCTCTTTGCTTCCATCTAGTGGTCATAAAGATTCTTGCAGCCCAGATGTTGTAATCCTGAAAGGGCTACAATTCTGATATAATCTTTACTGCTTGATTATTTATTTATTTTTAAAAAACTGTTTCTGTTGATGAAGGGAGCTTTAAGGTCTACGTCACATAGTTCACCGAGGGAGCTTAATAGCTTCAGAACCTCAGGCTGTAAATTCAGATCTCCATATAAGATATAATTTATATGTGATGATTTCCTGCAATTATATCCTTTCTGTAATGGCCATTAAATATAGATAGTCCTTATTTAGCGACCAGAATTCAAACTGACAAATGTTAAGGAAAGCTGTTGCTAAGTGAAACTGAACCATGCTTATGATCTGCAAATGTTGTAAGTATGAAGATTGTTCAAAAAAAAATGTCAGGCCTCTGAGGTAAATAGACAGGAAATACGATTAGATGAATTAATTCTACCTTATTGAAAAGTTACATTAAGATTTGAGAAAACATCCACCTTGAGAAAATTGCTGTGAAACTGTGGCTTTAATATTAACTATATTAATTTATTTAGTTAAATTCAACCAAATGAATTTTTTCTTCTTTCCACATTTTGAATTGTGCCCAACAATTCCCTTTCAAAGGCCAAGGAGAACCCTCGGCTTGGTCCTAAATAGTTATGTATCTTAGACATGTTGCATGAAAGTTGCATCTAGCTTCTGTAATCCTATAAACTGTCAGCTGGGATTAAGCTCCTCTGAACTTGGTGAAATTTGCTATTGAGTGGATATGGAATGTATTGCACT